CATTATAAAGCATAAACTCATGGATATTCAACTCAGGTTCGCAGTAAAAGAAGATTGCCCGCGTTTATTAGAGCTGATTCATGAATTAGCAGTTTATGAAAAAGACTCCGGAAGAAGTTACCGTTACCTTAGCTGAATTTGAAGACGCCGGATTTGGAACACAACCTGTCTGGAAAGCTTTTGTAGCAGAAGATGTAACAGGAATTCTGGGTTTCGCACTTTATTACACCAGATACTCAACCTGGAAGGGCTGTCGCTTATATCTGGAAGACTTCATTGTCACAGAAAGCCAGAGAGGAAAAGGGTTAGGAAAGATCCTTTTTGAAAGAGTAATGAAAGAAGCCAGGGATAAAAATTATAACGGAATGACATGGCAGGTGCTGGACTGGAATGAGCCAGCCATTAACTTCTATACTAAATATAATGCTCAGATTGAGACAGGATGGTTGAATGCGTCTTTTAACAAAGACCAGCTTTAAAAACAATTTCAAATAAACAATGCAGGTATTTAAATTCGGGGGTGCTTCTGTCGTGAATGCAGAAGCAGTAAAGAATCTTGTTGCTATTATCCAGCAAGCTGAAAAAGAAAATTTACTGATCGTAGTTTCTGCGATGGGTAAAATGACCAATAAACTAGAATTGCTTTCTAACGCTTATAGCTTCGGGCAAGAAAATACGCACGACTTACTCGATGAAGTCAAAGCTTATCATTTCAATATCTTAAATGATTTATTTGATAACCATAGCCATCCTGTATTTAATGACGTCGCTAATACTTTTGTAGAAATCGAATGGCTCTTAGAAGAAGAAGCAAGTGATGCAGCAGCTTATATTTATGACCAGATTGTTTCTATTGGTGAAGTAGTTTCCACTAAAATTGTAGCCGCTTATCTCAATGAAAGTAATATTTCTGCAGTCTGGGCAGACGCCAGAAACTTCATTAAAACTGACAATACTTATCGCGAAGGACAAGTAGACTGGGACAAAACCGAAACAGAAATCCAACGTAACCTTGTTCCACTATTGAAGAAAAGCATTGTAGTCACTCAGGGATTTATTGGCAGTACCAGTGAAAACTTTACGACTACACTAGGCAGAGAAGGCTCAGATTATTCTGCAGCTATTTTCTGTGCCTGCCTGGATGCCACAGCACTGACTATCTGGAAAGACGTACCGGGTGTATTAAATGCAGATCCTAAATGGTTTGCTGAAACAGAGCGGATCCCGCAACTTTCTTACCATGATGCGATCGAGCTTACTTATTATGGAGCAACAGTGATCCATCCCAAGACAATCAAGCCCCTTCAAAATAAGAATATCCCTTTGTATGTGAAATCATTCCTTCATCCAACCAGCGAAGGAACAGCAATTAATGGGATTAACAGTGAACTTCCTGTACCTTCCTTCATTTTCAAAGTTAACCAGGTATTGATTTCTATCCTACCGAAGGATTTCTCCTTTATCATTGAAGAAAACCTGAGTGATATCTTCAGCCTGTTTCATAAACACAAAGTGAAAGTAAATACGATGCTGAATTCAGCATTAAGCTTTTCGGTGAGTGTAGATCATGAAGAAGAAAAAATAAATAACCTGATTCAGGATTTATCAATCTTATATAAAGTAAAATACAACGAAGGCCTGGAATTGGTGACCATCCGTTACTATAACCAGGATACTATTAACAGAGTGACTATCAATAAAGATATTTTGCTGGAAGTAAAAAGTCGTCATACCTGCCAGATTGTAATGAAAGATAAATCGACTCTTGAATAAGCGACTTACAGAACAGACCGTTCAGGATTATATCCATGACAATTTAAATGCAGATGTGCATAAAATTGCCATGGCCAAAAGCCCTTTCCCAGAGGTTACGGGAAAAGAACTGGCCAATCAGATCGCATCCAGAAAAAAGTCATTCCGTAAATTGCCTACCTGGTTCAATACCAACTTCATTTACTACCCACCATTGTTATCAGTAGAACAATGTTCCTCGGAGATTACCGCAGCTTATAAAGCTGGTTTGGCCACAGGAAGCTCAATCATTGATCTGACAGGTGGCTATGGCGTAGACAGTTATTACTTCTCCCAAAAAATATATTCTGTTACACACTGTGAAATCAATGAAGAATTATCAGCAATTGCCAGTTACAATGGAGTTTTATTACACCAGGAGAATGTACAGTTCATTTCCGGAGATGGTCTTGAATTCTTAAAAAACACCGATCAGAAATTCGATTGCGTTTATATTGATCCAGCCAGAAGAAGTACTTCCGGAAAGGTTTTTATGCTCAAAGACTGTACACCTGATATCGTAGAAAATCTCAGTCTGTTATTGTCAAAAGCAAAACGGATACTGCTTAAAACTGCTCCGCTACTAGATCTCAGCGCAGGATTAAAAGAACTGGGTCACGTAGCTGAAATACATATCGTAAGCGTTAAAAACGAATGCAAAGAATTGATCTGGGTGATTGAAAGAAATTTTGAAGGTTCCCCAAACATCATTTGTACTACTTTAAATGCGACACAAAAGCAGTTCAGATTTATACTGGGTGAAGAAGGAAGTACTGCTATCACAGGTTCGGTTATTCCAGGTCAATACTTATATGAACCTGATGTAGCTCTTTTAAAAAGCGGTGCTTTTAACCTGATTGCAGAAAGATATGAGCTGCAAAAATTTCATCATCAAACTCAACTCTATACTTCTTCTGTCATTCATCCAGAGTTTCCAGGAAGAATATTTCAGCTCAATGAGGTGATGTCTGCAGCAAAAATAAAGAAGGAAAAAAATCTGGTTGGAAACGTAATTGTCAGAAACTATCCAGACAAAGCAGCTACCCTGGTTGATAAATATCATATTAAACCTGATGATACAGCCTTCATCATCTTTACGCAAAGCAATACTGAGGGTAAAATTATTATCAAAAGCACAATTATACAGCATTATTAACAGGCAAAAAAGCCTCCCGGTTACGGGAGGCTTCAGCCATTTAGCATCAAGACTAAATTATATTTTTTTCACGTTTATCGCCTGTAAGCCTTTCTTTCCTTCAGTAATATCAAACTCTACATTATCATTCTCCTGAAGACTCTCCATACCTCCTATAACGTCTTTGAAATGGACAAAAATATCCTTGTTTCCTTCGTAAATTAAAAATCCGTAGCCTTTCTGCGTATTAAACCATTTTACTTTTCCCGTACTCATAGTATTTAAGTATAAAAATTAATATTTATTTAAATTATCAATTATATCAAACTTAAAGAAAAGCAACAAGTTTTAAAAATTATTTATTTGGTTGTGGGGTAGTTCTTAAATAAGGTTTAATCACCTGATGGCCTTTCGGAAATTTAGCAGGAATATCTTCTGTTTTGATACTATTCATCACCACAACATCATCACCATCCTCCCAATCGGCCGGTGTCGCCACACTATATTTAGCGGTCAGCTGCAGCGAATCAATGACCCTCAATACCTCCGTAAAATTCCTGCCTGTTGAAGCCGGATAAGTCAGCATTAACTTCACTTTTTTATCAGGAGAAATTACAAATAAAGAACGCACTGTTAAAGTCTCAGAAGCATTAGGGTGAATCATATCATAAAGATCAGCGATCTTTTTATCTTCATCTGCTATAATTGGAAACTCAACATGGGTATCCTGTGTTTCATTAATATCCTGTATCCAGCCTTTGTGAGATTCTACAGAATCCACACTTAAGGCAATCACCTTCACATCTCTTTTTTCAAATTCACCCTTTAGCGAGGCAGTACGGCCCAATTCAGTTGTGCATACCGGAGTATAATCAGCAGGGTGTGAAAAAATAACTCCCCAGCTATCGCCAAGAAACTCATAAAAATCGATATCACCAATTGATGTTTTAGCTTTAAAATTTGGAGCGGTATCTCCTATTCTGATACTCATAATCTTATTATTTTTTGATTTTAAATCGAACAATTATATCTGTTTACAAACACTACTAATATAGTAGAATATTACCAATAATATCCAAAATTCATATTTAATGATGCTAATCAAACAATGTAGGCTGGAGCGATATTGCCGGAATATTCAGCCCTAGTTGTTCATTAAACACCTTTATCGTATGCGCAGCTAAAAGAGGCGTGTCCAGTTCATCATGCTGATGCAGAAAAAAGTAAATCTTTTGAAGACCTTTCTCCTGCCATAACCTCAGTCTTTCTCCCCACTGTTCAATCCTTGCAAAATCACTCTTTTTATGTGCGATACCATTGCCTATAAACCTGATAAATACTTCAGGGATAGTAACCTCCATATGTACCAGATCCCTTCTTCCACTTACATCCGTAATTACAGCTCCCTTTTTTGTAGCGGTAAAGAGTTCAAAAACCTTTTGTCTCACTACCGGATCAGCAAACCACTGCTCATGCCTTAGTTCTACAAAGACCTTTGGACTTGCAGGAAGAAATTTGAGATAATCTGATAGAACCGGCAAGTTTTTCACCCCAAAACTTTCACTTAACTGTAAGAAGCAAGCACCTAATGTATCTCCGAATTCAGCAACCGCCTTCAAATATTCAGCAGTAGACTGCTCTGATCCTGTCAATCGCTGATCATGACTGATAATCTTGGGAAATTTAGGACAAAATAAAAAATCACCAGGCGCATTCTCCGAGGCTTTTTTACGCCATTTGCGTACCGACTCTATAGGAGGAATCTGATAGTAAGCTGCATTTAATTCTATTGCATTAAAATGTTTTGCATATTCATCCAGGAAATCCGCTTCCTTAGTTTTAGGCGGATAGATTAATCCTACCCACTCCTTCCGGCCCCACTTCGCGCAGCCTATAAAAACTTCAGCCTTGCGATCGCTTTGCGTCTCATTTAACACTTGCGAAGTCTGCCTTCCATCCTCAGGCAACGTAAAATCTATATCCTTTACCTGGTCTGAATTTACTTTTCCAAATTCCATAAAATTGGCTTTAAAAACAAAACCCCGAAACAAGCATTATGTTTCGGGGTTTTTAAAAAAAGCATTTCGCTTAATTGTATACTTTGATCATATAGACATAGTTTTCAATCTTATCTATTTGTTTAGTTCTGTTTAAACCCTGTAAAGGATTCTTTTTAGCAAAGACTGCCTTCTTACCTATTGAATCCTGAGGAATTGCGTTTAAAGCTTCCAGAATGTATTTAGACTTGATGGCAAATGTTGCACCATCAACCTGGTTCTCTTTAGCAGTAATCACACCAATGATATTACCATAGTTATCGAGTAAAGGACCGCCACTGTTTCCAGGATTGATTGGAATAGAAACCTGGTATTGTGTAGTATCACCCACATGGCCTGTTTTTGAACTGATATAACCTTCACCCAAAACAGCGTCATCCTTTGGATAACCTAACGTATATACATTTTCACCCATTCCAATACTATTTTTCTTCAATTTATAAGGAA